GGGATCCTTGCACATTTGTTTCTATATGCATATCTTCCGCTAAGTATATGTATATATATACATATATGTATATGTATATATATATGTATACATATATGTATACGTATATATATAATGTGCATGAAGCCGTGCCCTTAGTACATTTGTGTTCATTTTTTAGCTGGTCGAAACGTTTGTCGTTCTTGCCGTTTTCACAAGTGCCTTCAAGTAGGGATGGAGCCGGACGGTGAGTGTGCTCAGTTAGCTTTTACAAAATGTGTTCTTTCGTTCATTACACATCGAAGCAGAAAGTTGCACTTTAGTGAGATCCAGAACGAATCAGTTAACCTTTGACCAGAAAGTTCACTGGTTTGTTGGGAATGAGGAAGTCACACTGCTCCTCTTTAGTTTGCAGTCGGCCAGTGTTCTCTTTCAAATTCCATCCTGCCCAGCGATGCCCGCCCTCTCTTTCGCGTTTTTAGTTTTTCACCCGATCGTATCCCTTTTTCTGAATCGTTCTTTGTATTCCGAAGAAATCAGACACATCCAATGTAAAGAGAAGCAGTGTATTAAAAAAGCATTTGTTTGCATTTTTAATGGCGCCAATCATTTTGATGTGAGTAGTGCATCGCGGATGGTGCATATTTCTTCTTGCAGAAAAATGTGCGTAGTAGTATCCTTGAAAAGTGCTACACAGAGTGGGCCGGGAAACCGTATTTTCAATGCTTTTTCAGCTGTTGCGGCATTACTGTTAGGCAAATATTTCACTGAAAAAAAAAAAAAGAAAAAACGGCAATTTTGCAGCGATTCGACCTGATCGCGACAAAACCGGGCGACAGAAAAATCCTCGTCGAAGTGGATCTGAAAGCAGTCCTGCGAAAATGACAGCAGGATCGGTATCCTCGGAGCTGCCTTGCGTAACATCGGAGAAGGACTGTGATACAAGTGAAGGTGCTCGAACCTCAATGCAGTCCGAAAATACATCTGGCTGCGGCAGCGATTTGAAAGCAGCACCTCCAGTTGGCGATGAATCCATTCTCGGAACGCTCTGTGAAATTGATGATATATGTAACAAGCTTAATGATAGTCATCCTGTGATTCCTTGTGCTTCCATCGCCTTGACTGATGCAGTTTTACGCCCTGCACTCGTTGCTACACGATCTCCGGTAAGTTGTCTCTGAAGTCACAAGGTTCTCTTCGTTTTTTTAAAGAGGAAGTTTGTTTATCGCTGAAACTGGCTCCGAAATTAGGTCTGGTAGATCGATTTTAGATGGCAGATTACTGAAATTGAGAGCTCCGCTTCTTGTTGTGCTGTGCTCTTATGAGCTTTCGTTTTTTTTTTTCCTGCTCTTCTGGAAAGACATGCGTTGAATTTCTCTAACGTCGCGTTAATTGCCAGCAGTTCCAGTGAACTGATAGTAAATTTTTATTTTAAATTGGAACTGGGATATGTGACAAATAGAATGCAATTTGAACGTTGAACGATGTAACTTTTTCGCGATAATTTGCTCTTTATTATTAGATGTACTCCTTTTTTTTTCCCTTTTTGCAGCTAATTTTCGATGGATCTTTGGGTCCTGCTGGATGCAAGGAATTTTTCGGAAACTTAAGGCGTCTTATTGTTTGGATTTTTGATTACGCAAATACACTTAAACCTATCGCCGATCTCACGCCCAGCGAAAAGGTCACCTTCTTGCTCTCTGCCGTATACTCAGTACTTCATAAAAACTCACAATCGTTATGTTTTTGAGAAATTTTACAAGTCAGAGCAGTAATTGTTGCTTCAAAGTGGTC